GAGAGTGATTTGGTGACTACAGTAGCCAATTCCCTTAGGACTTTGGGATGCATCTCATCAGGTCCCATAGACTTGGGTATGTTCAGGTTCCTCAGGTGGTCACAAACCTTGTCTTCACTTACAGTGGGAGAGATTTCGTCACTCCCATCCCTGTCTTGTGGTCCTTACTCTCGTGAGATGTGTAGGACATTACCATCAGAATTACTTGTTAAAATGTTGTTGTCCAACGGCATTTGGTACATCTCTGCATGACACAGAACTACTCTCTCCATTCTTTCCCTGATGCTGGCAGAATTGCTCTGGATAATGCTCTTTCAATATATGTATAACAGCCGGAGTAAATCTGTTACTACTTGTCTATGAACTACTTATCAGATTCTTAAATACCTGCTTGTTAATGGCAATAAGGCCTAATAAAAGCACCATACACTTCTCTAGAGAGACTTCTTCCCTGGATTGGTTTGGAAGTGTGCTAAGACTTGTTCCCATTCAGGTCACTGAGAAAATACACATTAATGCTCATTACAAATAGTATTTGGCCCTGACTCCTTAGGGATTTAGAGAACTATAAATATGCTATTGACCATTTCACATGCTTAAGATCTGGTGAAAATACAGAACTACACAGATGAATTTCCAGGCTTCTCTCCAGTAAATTAACCAAGCTAGCAATGTTTTCTCCTTAGGCAGACCTTCACACATACTCTGTTAGAAAACCTGCTAAGTGCTGCGATAAACAGCACAGCTGAAAGGAGCTGCCTTCTCCTGTCCACTCTCTGTGTATAAATTTGCTCGTGTTAACACTTCCTAATAGTCTAAACATATTTCATTACTTTAGATATAAGAAGACATTCAAATCTTTTCTCTACTTAGCTGTTCTTTATTTATGGTAGACTGCTTCAGTTAAAAAGAAGAAAAGAAACATCAGTAAAACTGATGCCTGTCACCACATAGCCATATAGTACTACCTAAGCAATTCAGTGCTGAGAAAAAGTGACATTAAATGCTTCTCACTCTGAAATGAAGGGAGTGAAGGAAAAAGCACACATTTACCATGTTTACAACTCTCTTTGGGGAAACGCAGTGAGATTACTTCAACTTCCATGCTAGCAGCAGAGTAGATTGTTGGTAAAGAACCAGTAGCTAGATTTCTTAATTCTAAGTCCACAGTAAGTTCCTCCTACAGCATGTTCTAAAAGTTTTAAGTTATATATACTACCAGTTACAAATAAAACTATTCAACAGTATTTGACATGGTTGGGTATTTTTCTTATTTCAAATATTACAGCCAAACACAAGTAAGTACTAGAAATAACTATATTTTAAATAATTAATGGTCCAACTCTGCAATTCATGACTTTCAGAAGAGTAGTCTCACTGGCATCGGCAGGACTGCTTACATCCTGGTATTTGGCTAATAATGAACAACAAGTAGGCAGTCAGCAGATGGAGAATTTTTGGAAACCTCTCCTTACTAATCTTCCCACAGAACCAGTGCAGAAACCTAAAACATACTCAGAGCAAATCCCACTGAACGACAAAAGCATGTAAGAATCCACATGTGTTACCAAGGTGTTGGATAGGGCTGTGAGCTATGAGATTACACCAAGGTGACAGTGACAGAGCTTCTAGACAGTCCCTGCATATCTCCAGTCTTTAGTTTGATTAGAAAATATCCACTGAGTTATGCTTCCTTCATTTGTCAAGATACGTTGCCAAATGAAACCAATGCCAGCAGACAGAATTTGGTTAGTAATTATCTGGGAGCAAAGCTCTCATTCTTCACTTGTCTATTCACATAATTAACTTGGTATGTTATGCACCCTGTTGTATCATCCCTCTGTACTGGCTTTTGATGAACAGCTCTAGAAAAAATACACTACTGAAGCTCTCAAGAACCATGAAATAAGAAACAAAGGGAATTTTTAACGTTGAGCTGTTTTACCCAACTGCAGCCAGTGAACTACTCAAAAAACATGTGAACCCTACTTCAGGGGGACAAGGCACCTAACATCTGTAACAATATTCTTCTGTCTTTCTGCCTGTAGAAGGAGCAGTTAAGACTTCTATACAGACATTTTTCTTGACTTTTTGAGTGTCACTGGCCTGTCAGGTGTCTCCATGCCTTAAGAAGCTGGAACCAACACCAACATCCTAACTTGGATGGCACAGCAATTTTGTGCAAGGCCTTTTTTTCATTTTTCTTTTTTTCATTTTATTGAAGATCCAGTATCTCTTCATAAAACTAGTGCACCAGCCACATATCTGTACTGCCACGCATGACCGTCCCCTGCACATGACAGCCAAACTTTTCCTATTGGCTTTTATACTTCTTCACTCTTCCTCTTGTGTGGCAAAATCACTGTTGCATGTCATACTACAGTTACTTTCCTTGGTGAATAAAGATATACAGTAAAAAGCTACCATCTAAAGCACAGAAACATATAAGTTTCGTGGTTAGAGACAGATGCTGCATTTCACACTGAAAAGAAAAATTGCTAAGTGGAATCTAAGTTGCATATTAAGCGACTTATAGCCCGCTTTCTGAGGTAGGCAGGCTAGTAATTCTAATGCAAAGTCTGCAAGGCTTTGAAATTAGGGTATATCTAAGACATTCACACCATGTTTTCTCTGAAATTTTCTTAAATTTAAATGAAAAAAATATTGAAATTTACAGTAAAATATTTGTAGTTTCAAGTTTCAGTGGATTTTCACATCTAAAAAGATAAAATGTAGTCTGAAATATTGCTTGGCTTTTTTTGCAGGGCAAGGCCTAGAGGAAACAGGGTGGAATATGCAATGTATGTATGATGTTTTTTCAAGACTTTTGGAAACAGAGCAACTTACATATGTAACAGAGCCCAAGCAATGACTGAATAAAGAATGACAAACAACTTAAGATTTGTTATGACAACTTTGACATAATAGGACTGTGCAATTTTTATTTTTTTCTTAACTATGTGCCTGACACACAAGACTCTCAGGAAGAACAGCTGCTTAACTATTTCACTGCGAACAGGACTATGTAGCTGAGGATCATGACAACATCAGTCAATACCAACAACAGTTCCTAATTTTATCTGAGATACATAGAGTAGCCTATATTTCAGCTGCAGCTTTCTGAGCGGGAAACATGATCTGTGCACATGCACGTTAAGACAGCCAGTAGGCTGGGAGTAAGCTGGTACTCCTAGGAAAAATCTGACTGAATCAAAAATTACTAATGGGGCTCCTTGGGAACTGGGGTCTATTTAAACAGTGAATTTCAATTAATAAATCAAGCCAAAGGAATTACAGATATGCAGTGACGTACATCACTTTTTAGCAGATATTTGTGATAATTATCTCTACCAATTCCTTTGCAAAGATCTTCTCTAATCTAATGTTACCCTTATGCAATGTAGAAAGAAGTAAAATTCAAACAAGAACAAGAAGTACAGAACTCAAATGCTTTTCCAGAACGTAAAAAACCTTTACCTGATTGGTTTCAAACTACCTTCAGTTGACTGTGAATATTTTTCTCCACAATTAATTCTGCTACCATGCTTTGGAAAATCTGACAAAATGTCAATAATTAGATGCCAACCACTTGCAGTTGTGTGAATCTTGGCGGTTTCACTTTGCAGGAGTACAGGAAAATATTTTATTTGGTGTCAGTCCACACATGTTCCCTCTCCACCACTTTCAGTTTGGGCTTTGACTTTTGAATATGTCCAAACAGGCAAATGAATAAGCAGTCAAAATTTCCACATTTTACCTGGTTTCACTTCACGACCACGCAAATAAAAACCAGGCAGCAGACATATCTTTGTGAATCAATAATGGAATAGATGTTCAATTTAGAAAGAAATACAAAAAAACATCTATCATGTGACTTACACAGAAGAAAAAAAACAGGGTCATGATGATCTTAACTCTCCCAAGTACCATTACTGTTTGTATTCCATATTCTGCGAAGTGCTGCAGGCATGTGCATTTATGATGCTATATAAAGGCCCAAAATGAGAATAATAATAGTAATAATTTGTTTTGTTTTAAATCGTGCCAGTGTTTTACATCATCCCAGCTGCTTTCTACTCTTTCCATCCACCCCCAAGTATCCTGGGACTGCAGCTCACTGGATCACCACTGTTGTCAGTGTGCCCAGTTCTGGTCTTTATCTGGTAAAAGTCATGACCGATCCAACAGAAATTACAGCAGGTGAAATTTTTTCCAAATAAGGGAAGTATACCACAGAAGTCATAACCATTCAAAAGGTCTGACTGTATTAACATTTCTGCCGAGAACATACTCATTGAGTACTTCTGTGGAGGAACGGAAAGGAAAGAAGAGCATGGAGTCCCAAATCCGAGTAACTACAGGTACCACGTGTAGGAAGTTGTGAGGAAGAGAAAAAATGCCAAAGGGATGAGAGCAATGAAAGAAATGGAAGATGAAAAGGCAGGCATAAAATATTGGTAGAAACAGGATATACAGAACACTCTGAATACTGAGATGTAGAAGATAAGGAAGATAACACAGACTGAGGAAGACAACTTTAGAATACAGAATGAGAATGAAGAACAAATGAATTACAGATGGACTGGAGGAGAGAGAGATGATACGGAGAAAAGGAAGGAGAGTGAGCATGGAGGTAACTAATTACAGGCACAACTGGAGACCAAGCCAAAATTAGGGATGGAGATGAGAAAAGTTGAACAAAGAGTAAAAAGGAGATCCAAAAAAGAAAGGTATGGGACAGAGAAAAAAGCTTATCTGGAAACGGGACAAAGAACATAAAAACTTTACAGAACAAAAGCAGAAGTAGGAGTTGAGAAAAAATGTGAAAGGGATAACGTAAGTATTAGCAGCAAAATGGTTAAAAATAAAGTACAGAGGTAGGACCCAAGAGGATAAGAAAGAAAGAAGACTTGAGGAAAGGGTGAGTGTGAAAAGCAGCAGACGAAGCTGACACTCGCATGTAGACCTTGGTGCCACCCCTGCATGCAAAGTCATCTTACCAATCCACCACAGGTACTGAAGGAGGCGAAGGAGCCTGGGTAGCGGAGGACAGCACCACTGTAGTAGCAAGCTCTCTCAGGTTGTGACTGTGCAGCACCGGCTGGGCTTTGCCCCTCCCCCCAAAGCCGCTCCTCCACAGCAAAGCCAGGAGCCAGGAAGCGGCTGTCCTTCTTGAGCAGCAAGTAGAGCTCCCGAGCAAAAGCCGGGATCCTCAGCAGCACCTCATCTCCATCCTCGGCTGGAGGTGGTGGCGGCGGGGATGGTGGTGGTGGCAACTGAGAGGCAGCACCAGATCCCTGGGACAGCGGGGACCAGTGGTAAAACTC